TTCAAGAATCATCTATTTCGCAATAAGACTCTAGAGGACGGTCAATTTGGATTTTCATTATCTGTTATTAAACAATATAAGTCAATTTAAAAAAATCTAAGCTCAATTGAAAACTTGGAGACTAATATTAGGGTATTTAATATAGCAATTATAGTGTTGTACCTTGCTCAAGGGTGCAGCTATTAACTACTCTGAAATACTACTCAATGTTGTTGCCCCTAATGTAGATAGTAGGTCTTGCTTACCTAACTTAAAAGAGTTCTTTGAACAAGTAACAGTAGTACTTGATACAGAGCATGGCATGAGTATATTTAAATTTTCAGAAGGGTTTGATAAAGTTCTTTATAAAAGATGTACATATTGTAGGCAGCAGGCCTTCAAGATAATGCATATATTTTAGTTGAGAATTGGTTAAAGGATAGAAAACAATGAAGAGGAGTAAATGCTCATATTGGGAGATAATCAAAGGAGTAACTCATTTGAGATTTATATTAGGATCATTATCTTTCTCATTATCAATGACCAGAATCCAGTATATTAAGTAAACTAGTCACGTTCACTTAAAATGACTTGGAATTGAAAATGGCCAAACCATGTAGCCAGCATTGTTACTACCTTGGAGTCTGATATTTCCCTCTGAGATGACAGATCCACCTCTTCTGGAAAGCAAGCTTGCTTCTGAAAGTGGTATAAAATGAAGTTTTCTATATTCCCCCTGGACTACAATTTCTAAACCAGAGTCATGGCATGGTGACTGGGTACACTGCTGCAGAAACTGCCACACTTTGCATGTGATATTAAACCAAGATCCTGACTACTCAGCCTACACTGGTGTCCAAACTAAATTCTGCTTACCTACTGTTCACATTAAAAAATGACCCTTAACTCAACTAGTGAAGCTATTTGTCACATTTTCACACAGGCAGATACACATCTCACAAGGAGACTGAAGGATTTAAAAACAAAGTGACGTACTGTTAAAATTGCAAATGATCACTGACAACACAGTGTGCAACTTTGATTACCATGTTTCAAAAAACACATTCCTGTTCTGGAATCAGTCCAGATAACAGTGACCAGATATTCCTGGGCTTAAAGGAATATGTGCTGAACCGATATTCAGTTTCAGAGCCTCTTTTCATCTGGAGCAAACATTGCAACAGGGCGACATGATTCAGACATTTTTTATGCAAAAGCTTGTGGGAGTCTGGAACAAGCTTTCCAGCCAAGTTGTTAAAACGAATACCCTGGATTCTTTCAAGAAACAGCTAGATGATACTATAAGGTCAATTAGCTTCTACCAATAAAATTAGCTAAATGGGAGAAATCACATTTTCATTTGTAGCCTGTTTGTATGTTAACCACCGGTATTGGATAAAAAAATGGGCACACCTGGGTTTACTCAATACCTGGTGAGGAAAACCAAGTATACTGAAAGAAAGGGCTCCCTTGTGTGAGACTCATGCATTAAGCCAGGGTCAGTGACCAACGACATTCATGCCATTATCTTATCATTATCTTAACACGCAATAAGTCCAGTAAGCGACAAAGAATTTAAGTAAAAAACTAAGCCTGACTCTTCTGTAATTCTCTACAGCATGCTATCCAATGAAAGCTTTGTCATAAAAAACAATTCACTTGGTTTATTTACTGCACTATTTTAAGCAGGGGTTTCCTATTATTTTCACAGAAAAGCTCACAGTCCGTGCCACTGAAGACATTTTTCACACTTAAGTGTGAAGTTAAACATTTTGGACAAAATGGTGGTGCTAGAAAAGCAAAGCTAGATTGTGCACATTTGCTCATTTCAGCCCTTTTGGGGAGATGGATTTGGATTTGTCCAACATAAACATAGTGATTTGTTGTAAAAGTCATTTGTGGCAGATTAAGTGTCCAACGACAGGCAAACATTTCAAGGATGAGGTGGACAAGGCTGAGTCTATCAAACGGGTCATAACGTACAGAAAACAAAGCGCTTACTAATTTCTGTGGAATGTTCTGGGATCTGCAAAACTTTTAAGGCTACTGAAAGGTATCATCATAACCTGTTGGAAGTTCTTCCAGTGAAATAACTGAAGAAAATGTGTTTTTTTTCACTTCTCTCAGCTGTATCACCATACATTCGTGAACACGAATTTTCCCCCTTATAGCCAGTTTACAACTGAACACTCGGAGGTTTGTGTTGCTTAAAGTGCTCGGCAAGGGAAAGCGGGGGCAAGGATCACTCCAAATAGAAGAAGTGTATATTAATTTATTAATCTTTGCTAATATTTTAATATTAAATATTAATTACTCAAGATTAAGGCTATTACTTACATTAAAACAGTATCAGTGGCACACAAACCTGTCAAAACAATTGCGTTAGCAAACACTTTGCACACCCTTTCTGAAAGGTTGCTAAACCTTGCATTAAGCAAATTACATCCCAGTATGCTTAGTATCATGTATAAAAATGCTGTACAGGCCTGGTTACTTATAATTATGTCATGAAAGGCTGCACATCAGGTCTCTGTGACTACATAATTGTTCAGGCATATTTGAGAAGAGCTTCAGTGACCAAAACATCTGGACATGCTGATGTTTCATGAGCAATAGTGTCTACGATGTCAGCATGGAGCTCAGAGCGCAAGACATCATCGGCAAAGAGCAACAGTGGGTGGAAGTGCAGACTCCAGGAATTGTGATATAATGCATTGATACTTCAAGTACAAGTCAAAACAGGCTAACAACTGCATAGCAATTGAAAAATTCAACATGAGTTGCGAGAAGCCAGTTTCCTCAAAAACGGTTTTCAGAGAACACCACAGCATGGGAAACCTTGCTTGGGCTGCAGTGCACAAACAATTCCTCACATCTGGAAATGCACACCTGTGAGTACAGCGAGGTTAAGACACCGGGTAATGGACTACCAAACAGCAGAAAAATGCAATTCATTTCAAAATACTTTTCATCCCCAGGGAGAAAATTTAATGTGGTCAGATGCAATATGATCAATGCACTTTGGTCAGATGAATCATTCTGGTTTGGTTGCATTTGTTCTCTCGAAGTGAGCTCATTGCTTTCATTGTAAGGTAATTCTAATCACTAACGAACAGTTCTGAGTGATGTACTTAAGGAGTGATCTAGCTTAACCCCAAGTAGCAACATCTTTCCTGCTGGTAGGGGTGTCTTCTAGGATAACAATGCCCCCCATGCACAGAGCATGTGGTCACACCATGGTTTGATGAGAATGATGCCGAGGTTATCAATTTTTCACGGCCTCCTCACAGTCACCAGCTCTAAGTATTCATGGGGCATTCTGCAACAGTAAACAAGACCACATCTCATCTTCAGGTGCGAGGTGACTTTTTTTCAGGGAGATATGGTCTTAACACTGAAAATGACATTCAGTTTGTAAATACCTCCCATCAAAACTACATCTTCAAATCACATCAAATAGGAGCAGCAATGACAAATTTCAACACAATGTTAGACATCACTATTAACCTTAACACTGTGGTTAACATACATTAACTAGGTGTGGAAGTTGTAATAAACCATTTTGCGGTTTTAAATGTTTTTGCAGAGTACTGTATAGGTATGAGATCTCACAATTTAAATTATATACTGCTCTTAAAAAGTGTGCTGTTAGCCACTTTGTCTGCAATTTCTCTCAAGGACCATGTGTTGTTGCCCAAGGCTGCTAACATCAAATTGCCTGATTAACTATTGGATCAGATGTGGTGTCAAATTCAGAGCATTTTAATCATTTGCTTTGCACTAACTTTCTAGCCTTACACCCCATCAATACAGGATCTGCAAAGAGTTGCAAAATCCTGTGACCACTCTAAAAGTTATCTAAAAGCTTAATTTCTCACAGAATAAGCAAACATGGACATAGAAGCGACAATATGGTGGAGATGCAGAACTTTCAAAACAAGTAGATATATTGCTAAAATAACAGTCAACTGGAAAATTAGCTCTGATGGGCTAAATTATCTATTCTCATGAAGTTTGTTCTGCACATAAGTAAGAGTATTAACTATGAATTATGTAAAAACAATCAGACCGTAAAATGTGCATAAAGAGCTAAAACCAGAGTGGCTTCCATAAAACAGCATAATCCTGTCTCGCAGACAAAGCATACCCCACTCTTGTACCCTTTATTTGCTTTATATATATAAAGAAAACAGGCATGTACTTATTTTTCCAGGGCAGACCAGTTTAATAGAACTTGCTAGTCTATTCCTTTCACTTTTTGCATGCACTGCCTTTATACTGCAAGACTTACCAAATCTTTTCTTCTGCATGATGTGGTATTTAGTAACATTTTATACTAGACGCATCACATCAGATGTTCTGCTTCACAGGGGCCAGAGGTAAAACAATCAAATCTATTGAGAAAATCATAGGAAACTGCTAACCAGCATTTCACATTAGATTTTGCAGTTTTGTGTAAGAAGACTGCAATCCACAATCCATTTTTTATTCCATTTTGCGTTTCTTTCAATTTGAAAGAAATAATGTAAGCTACCAGAACACTTAAAAACTTGTATTAAGTGTTTAAGAACTTAAAAAAGGGTATTAAAATATCAAGACCACTTTTTACCATTTTTAATACTGTTATACACATTAAAATTGTATTTGGCTCTGAAAAATGCAGATCACTTATCAGTTGGAAATCTCAGAATATGAAGAAGCATGGTTGTTTCTTTAAACAAAACGAATGTATAACCTAACATTTCCCATCTCATCTAGCATTTCTTACTGAAACAGAACAGGATAAATCGGAAAACAATATTAAATTTTAATTTTGTAATCAAGTTCATTTAAAATAAATGTTCATCCTTTTTACCATTTACACCACAACAAACGTGAGACCAGCAGAAATCATCATTTAAAAGGGAAAACAGAAAACCAAAAGAACAATCTTTTGCAAATAAGGCTCAGAAGCATGGAACTTTTCATTATATGTAAAGATTAAAAAGTGATGTAGAGCAAAAAAAATCAGAAACAGTCACTAGCTCCAAAATTAGCATTTTATTCGGATGGTTGGGGTCAGAAACGTATAACTCGAATTCTGGTACATAACATTATCTGCAAAGCTGCTGTCCAACTTTTCCAGTCTTAAAGCTGTTTCAGTTATTAGTGCTGCCGGTGTCATAACACCCCCTTTTTGGTACAAATTCAAACAGTTGTGCTGATAAGATTTGTTTTTACAAAAGGCTATTTCCTTCTATGTCATCCATTCATGTCAATGTCTGTTTTTGTAAATACATTTTGGATACCTTTTTATAATGAAAAGATAAAAACATGCAAAAAACTTGAATTTGTAGTCCAAATTATACATATACAAGGTCTGAATTTCTTGCACTTCATAGACTACGCCAAAAAACATTATGTACACGCATTTTTTTTTACAGTGAAGTAAAAATCAAAGTACCAGAGGTTGACTAAGGCAAAGAAAGTGTACATGGATTAGAACAAAAAGATCTTGTAAAATACTATACCACTTCAGAAAAAAAAATGATTTCGCTACAAATCAATGATTTGTGACTCCCTTTATTTGCAACCAGCTGCATAAGTTTAATTTTTAGTGAAAAAACTATCTAAAATTCTAGCGAACTGTACATTGCGGTTTTCAGATTTCTCTCCATCCAAGCTAACAAAGATTACTCAATTCTTCTTCAGGTCATTTAAATACATGTATTCAACAAACAGCAGTATGGTGTAACCAAAAAGCATGTAGAAGCATACCATGTTTTAACATACTTCCTTAGTTTTGAATCACTCCAAAAGTAAGTACCATTAAAGCCTTAAACATAAAACTAATTATTCAGATCCAAAAATGTACAAAAAGGCACATAAAATCCCAGTGCTTCTGTACTGTGAAATTCAAGTGTAACTGAGCGCTCTTAATATCAACGATCCCAAACAGTGTCAGTTTACCAATGTTCCCTCTGAGCTCAAAATTTGATTGCAGCCTATGCCAAAGCCTTCAACAAGCATATGTGCTAGTAGACTACAAAGTTAAAGCCTAGCTTTTTTTTTTGTTGTTGGTTCTCTCTTCAGGAATATTGGTTTTAGAAGCTGTCCTTGTCCCATACAAAAAATGGTGCCACTCAGGCATTACTTAGTCATCACTTCCACCATACATGTCTGCGAGTTTCTTGAACCTTGGCCCCCAGTCATTGAGGTAATCATAGTCTTGGTCGCCTCCACTACTGGAAGAGTTGAGGGAACTCAAAGAGCCTGCTGTGGATCCACTGCCTTCGTAGTCAAACACCAACAGGGAGTCGTAGGGAGGAGCTGTCGGGTCATTGTCTGCAGCCTTAAGTCCCTAGGAAAAAAAGCAAACCAGGGTTTCATTTCTTTAGAAAGCCCAGATTCAAAGTTAAAATTTGTACCGTTTAACAAATCAACTGTTACATTTGTAAGCCAAAAACCTCTTTCAATGGTAACTTTTAAAGTAACAGGACAATCCATCTGTTCTGAATAAACTAATATTAATTCTACATATGTACTAAAATAGTTCAACTGAGTTGAAGATCTCAATTGAAAATCTCTCCTAATTTTCTATTACCAAGAACACTGACATTTTCAAAAACACTGTAACCTGTATGTGTGCAACAAAAATATGCCACCACAATTTTAGGAACTAAAGCATATTATTGAACGCACTGACATAAAAATACACAATAGATAACTAAAGAAGATCTTAAAAGATCCCATAAAAACAAACCACAAACAAGACTTTTTTCAACTTATCCCTTCTGCCTTCTGCAGAGAAGACTTCAATCCAGCACGCAAGACAAGGTCTGGCCAGCACACATTTTAACAATGTCAGGCTACCCAAATACAAGTTACCCAAATACAGTCAAACTGAAAGATTAAGAATGTAGTCGGAGAAAGATGAGCACAACCTGACAGAATGCAAACGCTTCAAACAGACGAATTTTCCTCCCACCCTGCTGCATTTAGATACAGTAGTTACATAACTACTCTTTTAAAAAACAGCCTCATTCAGAATGGAATTATTTCCCCCTTGCTAGCTCTAGTTAAATGTTTGCTCTAGGCAGCAGCACTAACACTTTCATCCAGGATGTGAGTGACAGATCTTTCATTACAATTCCAAGTCATCAGTGCTCTAGTGTGTAACTTTTCCATTAAATGTGGTTCAAGATTCTGCAAACATGCAAACTCCAAGGTTAAGTCTGCCAACTAGTTTGTAATTGCATTAAGACAGTGTGGTGTGTGCATAAGCAATAAATTCAGAAATCTGCACCAACAATGAACACCTTGTGTTATTATAGTACCCCAGGTATTCCCACCAACATTCCAAGTACAGCATGTTTACAACTGATATAGGTGCCTAATCACAGCTTGAGTCTATCAGGAAACATTACTGAGAATAAAGGGGATCTAAGAAAAAAATATGAAATGTAACGCCAGTGGAAAGAAAATCCAAAATGCATGGTTGCTATCAAAAAGGCCATATATGTTCTCCACTGGACTGTTAATTTAAAAAATCTGATCAGCCTTCCAAACAAATGAGCTGAGCAAGATTTTTTCACATGATAAAAAAAACAAATGTGAACACTATCCAGTGTCTGTAGCAAACTTGGTGTTTTGATGCTGCATCTCCTTGGGCAGGTGCTGATCACTTAACATGTAAAAGAAACTTGTTGATAGTACTGCTATTGTTCAGTAGCCCAGCGTGTACAGAAATATAAATCGTTTGTTGATCTTGCATTTTTGCAGCAAGATATTACTATCTGGCACTCAACTGGCCCGGCAAAGCACTTTAGTGGTATCTGACAATCCACACAGCTCTTGCTATGGAAATCAAAGATGTGCTAAAGGAGAAAGTGATTTTCTGCAATCCCTTGTAAACTACAACAAGTGAGCGAGTCAAAAATGACACTGTAAAAAAGATTTGCAAAACTTGAAGCAGTACCACCTACACAAAAGTATCAAAAATGTACACCAATGAGAAGGTCCAATGCTTCAAAAGATGTGCAAAAAATGAAAAAAATTAAAATACTGCCAGGGTGATCCATGAACATGAATTAAGAACTAAAAGCACATCGATGAAAGAAGTCTCATCTTGAGGTAATTAGTGAAGTACAGCAGGGATATGTATTATGCCCGCTTCTCTTCCTATCCCTATAATGTAGATGCAAAATGGAGGGGGGGGGAAACAGCATGAGAAAAGACACTGAATAAATGGCGTTAAAGAGGAATAAAAGGTTAGGATAGTGGTGTATATTTTAAAAATCCTATAATGCACTAGACATAGAGCTTCGATTTTTTTTCAAAGATTAAAATTCTTCTGAGAGCAGGAATATAATCTTGGATAAGCTTTTTACAGTTTGAGCCTCAACCGTAAAAGTGATTAAAGTTTTCAAACTTCCAGGTTATGGAAGTCCTACAGAATTACAACTCAAACAGAAGTGAACAACAAAGGTAAGATCAGGTGCGCTTATGACCAACACACTCGTGGGTTACAGATGACTGGAACGAAATAGATTGCCACTGCTGAAGCTAGATTTCTGGAATTCTTCTTGAAAACTAAAAACTGTAGATTATGCAAAAAAACTCTAAATGTAGCCCAAATTCAAAACTTGACAAACACCTGTCAGGTGCCATTTAATGAAGACAATTAAAAAAACTAAAAATTTACATAAAACAGGTTGAAGAGGTTACTTATGAGGTAGATGTAGTGTGAAGCTATAAAATGGCAGTGCTAGAACTAAATAAAATTTAAATCAATGTTAATTTTGGATAATACAGAAGCAAGACCACATTTAGAATATTCTGTACTATTGTGAACAATATTACCAAACAAAAATATAGCACTGCTCAAACATTTAAAAATAAAATAAGCCCAGGAATGTTTAATGTTTCACGCTGCCAGGCTGACAGAACTGAACAGAAGTTTTATATTTAGTTTTTTGACGGCACAGACTACAAGGGGACCCAATTCATGTATTCAGAATCCTCAAAGGCATTGAGGAAGTCAATACGATGGTTTTCAGCATTAACATCAGACCACATAGATAACGAGCTAACTGATCCAATTATAAGCCCATTTGGTTGCTAGAGGGGCCTCTCTTATTTGCTGCTAATTTTTTTTAAAACCTAAATGAGACTTTGTATAACCATAAAAGAAACCAAATTAACAATACAGGTCAGAATGTTCATGACAAGAAAATTCTTAATTTGAAAGCATCTATACTGAATGGTGAAAAGCATTCACAAAACAAGAGTGTTGCCCTTGCTCAGAGAGATCTGCTCTCACATACCACTCTGCGAGACTACAAACCAAAGGCATCGTTTTCTATTGAAACTAGAGAAAAAAACATGACAGTTCTGTTCTAAAAAATTCATCTTTTATAGCCACAATTGATGGTTGCCTGAGGCAGCTATGAAATGTTCAACAAAAACCCTTCTATGGTAGCCTGATGGGCTAATGGTCCATCTATCCTATTAAAAAAAGTTATCTGTAGCAGGGCACCAGCACTCAGATCCAGTGCTGAGGATAAAGAAAAGCTTAAGATGTCAAATAAGGAATTGAATAAATGCCAAAGCATCCTTAAAAAAAAATAGCCGTGCTAGACAGGCATGTCTTCTCAATAGCAGGAAAACGTTTAACCCTTGTTAACCACAAAACATGCAGGAAACGCCACAGACGAGAAGCTCTTTGGAAATGGTTCTTCCAGAAAATACAATCGCATATGGAGGGTTAAATCTCAGATAATGTGCAGTTTAAATCAAGGATAATTACTATAAGTTCTCCTGACAGGGCTAGTGTTTAATTCATTACCAATTTAATTTAACTGTGTTCCTCACTAATCTCATTTGAGTACTAGAGTGTTGCCCTATTAAGGATATTAAATTTCTTTGTCTACAGTTATGCTGTAAAGAAAAGTAAAACATTAAAACTTGATACATAACACATGAGATGACAGTCTTGGCCATAGTTCTGAAGATCTTACACTGATACTTTGATCACTATAGAACTACTGTGGCATATATCATTTTAACTTGCAGGATGAAATCAGATGCATATACATTCAAAAAGTAACAACGGTTTTACAGATCAAAGTATCCCCCCACCTTCCACTCTATGGTAATTAAATGACTTGTGCTTTTTTCTCCAGCCCTACAAGAATAAAAGAATCTAACAACCAAGAAAAGCAGTTAAGTTTTTCTTACCTCATTAATGAAGTCGCCAATATCCCCTGGGTGAGGAGCAGCTGATCTTACTGGATACTGTGGCTCGGGATGAATTGGTCTCTCATCAAGGCGCCTAATTCCAACAGGCTTGATGGTGTCTGGCTCTACTGTATCAGGCTGCTGAAGCTGGCTCAGGTCATAATCCTTTAAAACAGATGGGAATCAATGAAAGGCCACCTGGCCACTGCAAGCAAAAAAACACGTAAAAAAACTGGCTTCCATTTCCCTTAACATATATTGATTCAAGTTGAAGAATACAGAAAAGAGCAAATAGTAAAAAAAACTATTAACTAAATGGTGGTCACAGTAAAACAAAAACCATAACATCTGTAACCATTAAACAAAATTGTAAGACTAATGAATACAATTACTCAAAGAAATACTGAATTCTGTAACTTGACAGACAAACATGTTATGACTGCAGATCTGTACAAGTCACATTAAGGTCAGTCTGAACTTCAAAAATGTCAGTAATTGGTAAACATAAATGGGTAAACCACACAAAATTGAGCGGGCACACTACCCAACTTTGATAGCCTTTTCCTGTGCATAAAATATGGTGCAACCTCAGTGCAGTGCATGCTTCTTTTGGTACAATACTATTCAGTCATTCAGAGCTTTTGCCACAAAAATAGTTTTTATGTCTAGACAAATATTGCCTGAAGTTTTAACATTGTGAATTACATTAAACCAAAATCAGAATAATTTGGTTTACTTAAGCGAAGCTGTGTAGTTTAGAAACTAAATTCTTAAGCAAATACTACCATAATGTCAAGATTGCAATATGATCACTAGGCAACCTTAAATAACAGGACATTGAGGTTAGGACTGTCATGTCATCTAGATGTATAACTGAAATGTACTAAACATTGTGCAGCAAATCTACAAACATTGCATTTTCCTGTAGAAAGATACAGTAAATCCTTGTATGTAAAGACTTAATTTTTATTAGATCTGGCAAACAACCCAGACTGTGAAAGGTTTGTGGAACCACTGAACAACTCATCCAAAATGGGGGATTTATGACGGGAATCAACAGTAGCAAATGATGCTGATAAACACTCATCACAGTATCCTATAGCATCACTTTAAACTGCTCATTTTTAGTGGCCCCCTTCAACAAACTCCCTAGGCTTTTTATTAATAGCCATCACGTCTGTCACACAATTATCCTAAAAATATTAAGTGTCCTACACAACAATTCCAACCTCACTTACACCAGAAGATGCCCAGCTAAATACAAATGTTATTGGTAATCAGATGCGTTTCTATTACATTAACCATGCAATTAACAGAATTACAAAGTAAATTATGACAAAGATTAACTATCCCAGCTTGCCACATAGCAGCTCTTGATCAAGACTTAGCCCTAAGGCATGAAAACTCAATTTGCTCTATTAAGAGATCCCTTTATTGTCCATATACAATTGCTTGTATGAGGAATTTGTCTTTTCACAAATCCCAGCTTGCTCTCCATGAGACTCACAGACAGGGAGAGAAGCTAGGGGTCAGAGCGCAGTGTCAGCCATTGTACAGAACCCCTGGAGAAGTTGAGGTTAAGGGCCTTGCTCAGGGGCCCAACGGAGTAGGATTCCTCTGCTGGTCGTGGGATTCGAACCAGCAACCTTCCAGTCACAGGCACAGATCCTGAGCCACAGAGCTACCGCACTGCCAATTACTGGGTCTTGCTTTGCAATAGTAAATTATTCCCAGTATTAACTCCGGACTTGATCAGGAAGTTGATTAGACCAACAGAGAAGTCCAAAGAGTACAAAGCCTCATACCTGGTCTTCTTCTCCACCACCCTCCTCATCATATTTCAGGATGTTATCTCGCACATCGTCCTCTGGATCAATCAGCAGCTGTTTGGCTTGCCGTTCTTTGTCGCGACGCTTCATCCAGACCACGAACAACAGGACAAGGACTGTTCCGAAGTTAAAAAAGATAATCTGAATAAGTAAAGCATATGCAGTTTTGTTCTTAATTCAGACTTTTTTTAATAAGAGGATACAGCTTTTAATGCTTGACACAAGCTTGATCAGCAATTTGGTTTTGATCCATATAATCTGGAAGGATTTCTCTTAGAGGATAACTGCATGTAGCTGCTTTTGGCTAAGACCGTTGGCACCGTTCACTTACTGAGCAAGATAATGATGCAGAGCAGAATGGCAATGATGGCTCCCGTTCCCAGGCCAGCTGCAATAATGCGCTCCACATCAGCACAGTCTCCATTTTGGTCACACTGACACACCTTCACTCGCAGATACGAGGTGTTAGACATTTGAAGATTACCAGAATCTGCAATCTCGATAGGGATCTCATAGATGCCACTTTCAAGGAAACCAATTTTAAGGCTTAGCTGGGCAAAATCACCTGCAGACAGAGGAAATACAGTTACCAATCCATTAGAGAGCAATTTACATTGTATTGCAATAGAATGTGCATAAAACTATATGCAACTATAAAATATGCATATCAGATGATAAGGCTAGAAAATCAATAGCTCATACAAAACAAGCTATTGTGCCATTTATAAAAATTTACAGAAATAATCCATTTCATTCCAAGAATCTGTCTTTCATATTTGCAAACATACAGCAGCTAGACTAATATTATATTAAATTTAACCAAAATTACATATTAATTAGCATTTTCAATTCAAATGCAAGATTAATCAGACATCTACACACCACTCAAGCGAGTGATCGTCCAGTTCTTCTTCACATCTGGAGGATTCCTGGCAAGTTCAAAGGCAAAGGGACCAGCATTTGGGTTCAAGTCTGCATCAATGGCTGTGATATTGATGGCATTTGGTTCTGGCTTTTCACAGATCTCTGCCTCTTGAGGAAACACTTGTGGAGCATTGTCATTGATATCCAGCAGGAAAATCTGCAGTGTTCCAGTTCCAGTAGCAGGGGGAATACCTGAAAAATTTTTTATATTTGAATACCTTCCCAAACAATTAATTTTAATACTCTGAACTACTTCAAGTTTGTAATTTCCTGAGCAAAGGTAAGATATTTTTATTGATTTACAAAAAAGTGGGGTGCTGCATTATTCGTATTTAAATATAGCTTTATTCAGTACAGGTTGATGCTTCTAAAAATGTACAGTTCAACATCACCTTTAACGAGCTGTCACTACTTTGCAATTACTCCCCACTATGGTATATGGAACATTATTTTGGAAAAAATAAGTTATTTATGCAGGACATATGCCATATCAAAATGTTTACTGCAAAACCAGGTCACTTCTACCCATCTTGAGTATCGCAACCGTTTTAATTACAATGTGAAGAATATCCCATGTGGGGAAAAAAAGGACAAACAAGCACATATCCTTTTGGAGTCACAAAATACGATTACAACAGAAACCTCACACTAATGGTGTCAAACCTCGCTCACATTAACTTTAAAGGCTACTTTTCAAACAAAGCAGTCAGCCAATGCTTTATTGAAATGTACCTATTCCTAGATCAGCCATTTCTCCAAGTACTGGCGATTTTAAGTCAGTGAACTCAGGCTGCCTACTGCAGGGCACACAGAGATGGAGCACGTAGCTGAAATGCTACTTGGAAAAAAATGCTTACATGCCTATAGATAATTAAATCACTGTCCAACATCTACATCATGGTTATTCCTGCGCAGGCTACATTAAAAGTATAAACATACCATTGTCTGCTGCAAGGAATGTAGCATTATACATATTATTCTTCACATACGGAGACTCTCTGTCCAGAACCGCAATAGTAGAAATCCGGCCACTTGAAGGGTCAATTTTCAACCATTTTGCTGGATCTGAAAGCTTAGAGTACCTACAAATACGCAAAGAGCAGAAAATAAATATTAAGGTCTGAGTAACCACTGCCAGTAAAAAGACCTTTAGAAGACCGCAAAAGCTTTCACTTGGGAATTTTTAAGCAGACTGGTGATTTCTTCCTATTTTGTTACAGTATGTAGAATCCATATAAAAAAAACAGAGGTGCATTGTTTACATAAACCATATTCTAAATTATAGGGGAAAAACCTTCACAAGTAGTATTATCCATCTTGGACTGTATAGACTACTGCCAGCTAATTTACAAGTCAACACAGCATACAGAGAAAATCAAATCTCAAAAGTGTACCTTATCGTCTGCTGCATGTAACGATCAGGGTCCTGAGCAGTAAAGGTTGTTAATGGCGAGTCCGCCGGTAAGCCTTCCTCTAGCTTGATAAGCTTAGGGTTTGGATCAAAATAAGGGCTCTCATTCACATCAATAACTCTAATGGAGACTGTTGCAGTTGACTGACGAGGAAGATGGATGCCCCTGGCCAGAGGCACTTGATTTTCCGCAATCACAGTTAGCACAAACGTCCTACTGATCTCATAGTCAATAGGCTGTAAAAAAAAGGAAGAAAGAACAATGTCATGCTTCATTGGGGGAACAAATCATTCAACGGCCATCATTTAAACGTCTAGAAAAGTATTGCAGTATCATTTTACATAATTCTGGAATAGAATACAGGAATTTAAGTATCAATCAAGATCCTTTTAATAAACTATGATCCTCTTCAATTCCTACACCTGCTACCACAACAATTTCTATCAAACCTCACAGAAGTGGGGGGGGGGGGGGGGATGTAGGGAAGCTGGCGCTCAATTTAGAAAGGTCAGATGTAGCTTACCTTGACAACGGTAACCAAGCCCTCATTAGTTTTAGGGTCTGTAGGAATAGCAAATCTGCCTGTAGCATCCCCTCCAGTTATTCTGTACACTGCATTCCAAGCGGGCGTATTTGGCTGGTCTTTATCAGTCACAGTTAAATTGGTAACAATCACATTCACTCGATTTTCTGGCACATCTCCATAGAACTGGACAAAAAAAACGTGAAGAAGTTCAGACAGGTACAATTTTATACTTAATAAGTGTTCTAATTGAGTAATGCTGTCCTACTACAGAATAATTCACTGCATAAATAAGTGATTACAATTGATCAATGAGACCTTCCAATACACCTTAAGGCTCAAAGTATAACTACTTCAGACTGAATTGGTTAGTCTAATTTACCATAAGCTGTAGAACACTACATAAATCATGAGTAGAACCTTTAATCACACTGATACAGGAAAAGTTAAACTGCTCACATTCCTACATGGTTTTATATTCAGCAGCCTGTTGCAATCCTTTAGATTTTACAGAAATGGTTACTGCAAAGCTAAGTAAACGCATGTAAATAAAAATAATGATCAAGTCGCATTGCATGATTTGGTATTTCAATGGATACATCAGTTTAATCTGGCATCACTTTAACCACAGTTTTTATAAGATCTAACATTACAAATGTTATTCACAAACCTTTGCAAGTGAAAGTTATTAACATGCATGTGATAACTAGACTACATATTGGTAACAAAAGGACATATCCTAACCAGTATGAAATATTGCCACTTAAAGGTTAGGTATAATGTTCATGGTATGAATACAGAACTGTTTTAGATGAGAAAAAGAACCATCCTCCACATTCTAACCACTTTATCAAACACGGGGTCGTGGGGGAGCTGGAGTCTATCCCAGCAAGCAACGAGTACAAGGATGGAACTTGGACAGGACACAAGCCCACTGCAGTCTAAAGTAGGACCAATAAATATTTACAGTTTATACACATTTGACTAATTAACTGAATACTCCTCCTACATAAACAATTTGATCATACCCAATTTTTTAAATAAGAGAATTGAAAGAAAAAAATTTAAATAAGCGCTTTGCTTTAAAAGTAAACAATAAGCTAACAAGTAATGTGATACAATTATATGTGGACTGGCTTCTTAACTGCATTACAATGAGTGATGAGAAGATTAATTAGGGAAACAACAACGGGAAAGCCAGAACCCCCAATAAATATCTATTTAATCTCCTCAAATGGATTAAAAACCAAAGGACGCTGCATAATGGGTCTCCAATATTTTAATATTTCATAAGCAACTGAACTAACTCCAGTTCTGTTAGCATCCAGTGGTCTCTTATGCTGTAGACTTAGACTCTGCTTCTTGGGTTTGCATTGTAATTGTTAGCCTTTCTACCGAGACATCTAGCCAAATGTAGGGCAAACAACAAAGGCAGAGATGTCAGTTTTCTTAATAATTTTGTTCCAGATTGGTTGCTAAATAAGGTTTAGCTCCTCTGTGGCTTAAGGCCCTCTTATCTCCAAGTAATAATAATACATCCAGAAGTTCCAAAATTGCTCACTGAAACAAAAGGCAGATATATAGGTTATTAAAATAAAATTTTAATTAAGATGAAAGAGACCTCAGCTCTTTTTGTGCCTTCACCCCACCTACAGAACTGCATTCCAATTCAAGCAGAGGATTAAGTTCAAACTCAAAACCAATACGCCTTTGTTTGATCTAAGGGATCTGCGAGTCTAAACCACTCACAGGCTCTAGAATTCTTACTTCTTTATGGTTCTCTAGGATTCCTCAGCACAAAGGGCATTGAATAAAATGTAATGCACTTTATCAAACAAAATTGTCCCCAACAATTATTTTATATTCACTTACAGTATCAGCAGTGAACTCAGGAGGGTTGTCATTAACATCTGTCACTCTGATAACAGCAGTCGCGGTGTTAGAAAGCCCATATGTTGGGTTTCCCTCCATGTCAGTTGCCTGAATTATTAAAGTGTATTGCGGTACTTTCTGGAAAAAAAATGGAACCCATCATCAAATCCTTTGAGTTACAAAAAACTCAAGTTGCATCCAACTGGCAAACGTTGAGACCAAACAATACTGCACAAACACAAAACACACAGATAGGGCTGTTGATTTAGTACGTCTTGGAACATGCACATTTTTCTTTTGCACTGCTTGACCCAACATAAGAGCTTTAATATCAGATAATAAATACACCTTCCTCGTTAACTCATAAATGTGCAATGTCAATATTATGGAATAATGGTGGGAGTGCACAGTTGCTTGTTGGTTTAATATCCCAGAGCCTGCGGGGAGGTTCTGATCTGGCAGCTGACTCCCTCCCTGGTAAAAACCATTCAGGTACTGGTTGCTAGGTAATGGGGAACAGACAGATTATTTTCACAGTGGCAGCCGTCCCCCAGCCATCGCACATGTAACAGAACCCTGGGGTGTAATTACCGGAACAGGAGGCAGTCACGCAGATTGCCTTTGCCTAAATTAGACCAACTGACCATCTATTTCAAGTCCGCAAGTCATACATATTACAGAACAAACTGATGCATTTTACAGTAAAAATGACCATCCATTCATTCATAAATCTTTACCTCTGCAATCTAAGGCTATATTAAATAACCTGCAGGTTAATACCTTGCAGCTTGCTATTATTTAAACAGGAGGAGGGTAGAGTTCATTAGTTCTCCAGTATTTAAATCATTAGCACAGATTAAATATGCTTAACGGAAAGTGTGAAATTATTTCTGTAGAAATACAAATTAATATAATTAAAGTTTGTTAGCCCTTTCAAAGGTAGACAAAGGGATAGTTTGTTTCTTACAAAAACAGATGCCCATCAAGTTATACATGAGGAATATATACTATACTACAATCTGAACAGTACTCCTTAGCCTTTCATGCTTAAACCAATTGACGATGTATAAATGGACTGTACCTCTCTGTCAAGTCCTGCTGCGACAGTGATGATGTCTCCAGTCTGGTTGTTAATGGTAAACATGTTTGAAGAAGGGCTTTCGGGATTCTGAGACAAAATCTTGTAGCGCAAAATTCCATTGGCAGTATTGGGGTCATCTTTGTCCATAGCCGTAACTGTCATCACAAAAGTTCCTGAAGAAAAAACAAATGTTGACATAGCGCATTTATTCCCTGTATTACTGTATAATATTGAGAGAATTACTCACAGGTGTCTATATAGAAGCTCTTGGTGAGATACACGGAAGAGCTAAGACAATTTGAGTTTAAATACCAGAGGTAATATCAAGGGACGAACAAAAAAAGTACAGTGCACAATCATGACAAGACCACACAATGTCCCATCACATGTCGTGGAGGTTATAAAAAAACTAACTAACTTCGACTGAAAAATGGACACCCCATTCAAAGCACTTTACAGGTAATGGGGACCCCCCCACCAGTGTGCAGCCCCACCTGGATGAAGCGACAGCAGCCATAGTGCACCAGAACGCTCCCCACACACCAGTGAGGACAAGAGCAGAGTGATGAAGCCAATTTATAGATGGGGATTATTAGGAGGTCATGATTGGCAAAGGCCAGTTGGAAATTTGGGCAGGACGTCAGGGTAACACCCCTACATTTTCACCCTGGGACAACACCTTTCTTACAGTACAGTGTCTCAGTCACTATACTGGGGCATTGGGACCCACAGACTGCAGGGTGAGCGCCCCCTGCTGGCCACACTTCCAGCAGCAACCTTAGTTTTTCCCCAGGAGGTCTCCCATCCAGGTACTGACCAGGCTCATACCTGCTGAGCTTCAGAGGGCTGACAGCTTTGAGTTGCAGGGTGACATGGCTGGGGACAAACAGAGCTATAACAAATTCCCCCACCTTGCAAATTTTAGTTTGGAACATATAGCGCTCTCTGTATGCCCTACTCATTACTCAGTTACAGTTTAAAGGCTCGATCAACTCCACACAAATTACACAAGTAACGCAGTGCATTAGTGCAACAGCGCCTGTCCTCAAATAGTTTACACGGGTCCAGCACTGTAAAATTTAAGTACTATTACATAAGTTTCTTCAGACTCACAAATGCTAATAGAAGTCTAAAAAAGCAGGCTCAGCATGAATAAAATAACAAAGAACACTTCCTGGGGTAGCAGTGAAAACAACCCAATAACACGCAAAGCACTGCATCTGTTTTTAGCTGCAGCACAGAAATGAAGTTATACCTGGCTTGGACCCTTCAGGAACAGTTCCATTCCAGATCTGGTGTACAAACTCAGGTCTGTTGTCATTCATGTCGATCACGTTGATTACAATATCGATGGGGTTCTCCACCTGGTTTCCATTCAGGTCCACTGCATGAGCCCTCAACTGGAAAAACCATCAACACCACCCCAGGATTATATACACATTCCGCCAGCTTCAAACAAACCGTGGGAAGACTAGTTACCAGCTCTGCAACACTCTGAAGTAAACCTCAATGTACAAGGCCTGTGCACAACTTGAGCATTAAATTTGCATTGTCCCACAGCTATTTTCAATTCTTAAACATCAGCCTTTGGTGTCTTTATCACTTTCTTCAAAGTGCAGATTTTTGTGAATTTAATTTCCATAATAAAACACTAATTTTACTCATTTCCCCAAAGGTCTGGACTTAGAGAAATGTCTCCAATTTCTCATTGCTCAAACTAGAAAGTAGACGCCATGGCATCTGGCTACTTTCTCGCACTCTGTTGTTGTGGTACAATAGATAACAGATACTGACAAAGTCATATTTATAAGGCAGCAGCTCTATAACCACACCTTAAAAAGTCATGAAATGCAAGTTTTTTCTTTTAACGTAATATTTTATGCCGTCAGGCTGGAGGAAATCTCAATTCAAGGAGACATCATAATGAAAATCTCTTTGCATAAATTTTGATTAAAGATATTTTAAAAAAAACTAATCTTAAGGCTCCTATCCAGCACTTTTAGTTCAAAATAACTTCACATTCAAATAAAACACAGGACTTCCAATGCAATATAAAGAAAAACAAATGCAAAAACTAAATTTGACATGTAAAATCAGGTATATGTCCAGCATGAACTGGAAACAAAAAGGGTACACTATATCACCGGCCATTGCGCTCACATGAAAGTTAGATATATGCTCCCGATCCAAAGGCTTAGTCACAGACAGCTGTCCTGAAATTGGATTAATGATGAAGATCCCAGTAGGAGGCTGGTCTGCACCAGGTCCTGTGACACTGTAACGCAGGGAGCGGTTTTTATCACGATCTGACCTGATCTGTTAAAGAGACAAGAAAAGGATGAGAGGTTCATAAAACGTCAAACTGCAATACATATTTTCTAGAAGGGGGGATCTGAATCTATTAATTACTTGCCAGGGTAGATTAGCAATAACCAGTCCTCCCAAACAGTGCTGTTGGCTCCAGATCACTCAACAGGCTGTACTAGTTTCATAATGAGGACTCCTAGACCGAAAGGTTAATTATGTTTTTTTTGCTCTATTTGATTGATTGTGAACATGACATTCCTAGTCTTTTTTTAAGCCTGTTCAGACCATTATCACATGCTAAAGCAATTCATTAAACTAATAACTTCTTTAATTCAATGATTAACAATTACACAATACTACATGAATTTAATAAAAAAAGATGTTCATTAACATTTTTGCAAATCCATTACTAGTACTATATATATATAAATGTACATTAAGCATTAAACAACTAAAGTAAATTATCGCAGCATAGTGGCTGGGAAGGGGGTATGTCTTTTGCTCTGAAAGGGAAAATATTTCATTAAGCCACCTGAAAATTAATCTTTAAGATGCCCCTTATCCAATCAGTACAGTTATTTAAATGTGGTGGGGAAAAAGGTTCCTAGTCTTACTCTGACAAGCTCCAGTGGGAAAGGGCCTCTTGAGTTTTCTGGAACATTGATCGGGGGGATGACCCAATCTCTCTTCATGCGCTTCAGCTGCCCACTGCTGCCCACACCCTGCTGCGGAAATACAATTTCCTGGACCTGCCGTGACACCTCTGGAGCCTCAGACTTCATTCCATGCTGAAATTTGAGAACAGTTACATCAAGCTGTTATGTCCAGCAAAAGCATGTGTGTGTTTGGGAAAACTGTTCTTACGCAAGCACACTTCTTGCTTCATCTCAGATACTTGTGTACAGGACCGCCTCCTCCCAACATTCTCAATGACCTTAACTTCCCAAGTCATTCTGCACAATTCAAATGTATTGCTTAGAAGACCTATAATTGGGAGATAATGGGGGGGGGGGGGAGAGTGAGGACTCGACATATAGCTCCAGCTTATACAAGGTGTACATCTAACCTCTTGCTATAAGCTAGCAAGGAAAACTCCTCTGTACTTATCCAAGGATCATTTACTGTCAATTGCACAAAATTCATGTGACACTAAATGAAAGTGCTGGTACCTGCAAGGCACATGTTAAATACGCAGATGCCTGGAAGTTTCTGCCATTCCTTCGTAGGCGGAAATTGAAACACAGCCAAAAGTCAGAGTAACCTTCAAGATTGTTTCCTAAAAAGGATACTGTTTCAGGGCAAGTGATGGATGACAGCTGCAATTCAAGCAGAACAACCATCCATTTGTTTGGAAGCTCCCCCCACCTCTCGCCAGTACGTAAAATCCAAACTCGCAAAAAAAGTAAACTATTTTTAAAACACCCTAAACAGATCCAAAAATCAAATGTTCAGTTTTCTTCAGAACTCCCAAATTGTTAAGACTACTAAGACTAATCATGTTTGAAATCTGGATTATAAATTTAATACATTTAAATTCAGAGAAGCAGGCCTATGAGCTACCAGGAACATGACTCAGAAATATTTATGACCCTATTAAATTCCCGAGAATTAATGCAGTAATTATTTGGGACCTGTGTCAGGAATGATGGATGCTGTAGATGGCTTGCTTTGCAGAATGGACATTCATCTCTGTAGGTGGATATGGCACTCATTTCTATCCTTTGCCAATAACAGCACTTCAGAGACTGTGTACTGCTCGGCCAAATTCATTTCCGACACCCTAGGATGGAAAGGAGATTTCCCTCCTTACACATGCAAAGCACACAAAGCTTTACCGATTAGCCTTACTCAAGCTGTCCATTTAGGTATTTTACAAATACAGGATAATGTTCATTTATTGCTTTTAACATTTAGTGGAGATGACCTGAAATGTTTTGACTGCATGTCAACAGTGGCATTATTTCCAGGTCTGCCCGGCTGAATTTAATAAGCCACACCTAGATCTAGCTAAGAGGTTTATGCTCATCCCCAAAAAAGCTGGAAGTCCATGAAAATGCAGAGAAGGGGATACTGCTACATGGTTTAAAATGACAACAAGTAACTAAACTTCCAATTTTAAACAGGAGGATCATTCTCCACGAAATCAAAAGCCATTGGCTTCTACTATTGAAATTTCTATTCGTAGTGTTTTTGTTCCCAAAGAATTCAAAGCTACATTCCAAGCTTTCTAGATAAACAGAAAGAGACCCACATCATCCACACTGTTGTGTAGCACCCAACTGGATTTCGAGTAACGGCCACTACACTGTAACAGCCCCACTACACAGGATATATGATGGGAAGGTGAGGGTTATTTAAACATTGTATTCATGGGATGGTAAGTCAATTTGCAAAAACCCAGATCGGAATATAACCAAGATACCAGGGTTAACACCACTATGTTTTTAAAGAGTCTTGTAGGATCTTTAGTTGCCAGATAGTCAGTTCTTCAGTTAAATTATCTCACTGAAGAACGACAACACCCACAGTGCAGTACTTTTTCACCATACAGGCCCAATGGTTTGAAAACTTTAGTCCAGTGGGAAGTCTGCCACCTACCTGTCCACTAATACCACAACCTGGTTTTATTTGGAGGTCTCTTATCCTAATATCAACCACAATCAGAAGTACTTTATGCTTCCACACTTCAGCCAACCTAGATATTACAACTTTAAGCAACTTGTAGAACTATCATTTTAATTGGACAGGTTGAATATCACAGCATGACAGATTGGTTGAGTCAGTCACTAATGTTATTTTCTTACTAAAGATTACCCAAGATAGAACTAGAGTCAACTACAATTGTATACAATTACAGAGGTGTACCAAAGCTGAACCACAATTACATTGCAGTTAAGGCATCTAATTCATATAATTGTTCAATTACAGCTCAACTATACCCTTTAATTTTCTGTGCATCATTTTCAGAATCTTAATGTTTTCCACTGCTTATCGGGACAATTTTTCTGAATGACTTACCGTGCAACAGCATTGCTTGACATTAGATGCAGCTTTAACAAATCAAGCCTGATTGCATTTTGGTAACAACAAAAGAACTATGCCTTGATCAGAGGATCAAAAATCCAAATTAATTACACTTGAATTCAGATAAGTTTGAACTGTTATCTATGAGTTCTCTGTAAGGACAACTTTCTAAACTCTCATTTACAGGTGCCTATCTTTTTATACAGACATAAATCCCATTCAGATTTCAGCCACCATGTCTCAAGCATGCTGCCAGCCCAGCACCATCCCACACTGATGACAGGCCCACGCTGACCTGAATACCTCCTGAGTCTCACGTGCCACATGTGAGGCACGTCTGTCATATGCAACGAGCAGTCAGGCTGTTGAGGAAATCTGTTCATGACCCTAAGCATCTGAACAAAGCCGAGAGGTTTCTGTAAATGTAATTGGGCTAAACTAAAATGGGGTCTGCTCTTGTACCACCAGGAGACTCGGAACGGTATGCAGAGGAAAACCTAAATCTTTACTATAAACAACATACTGAACAGGTGCATATAGAAGGAAAGGCAAACAAATATTTATAATAGATGTTTTTCCAGCATCATTACCACCTTGTAGCCTGATCCCGACTAATCTTAGAGACTGGGCGTGGTCAGTACAGAGAGAGGAGACTTCCAACAAAAAACAGGTAGCTGCTGAACTTGTCTTTGCGCCAAGCTACAATTTATAAAAAACAAATCCAAAGTACAATGAAAAAGACAGTTGTGGGATGTCAAGCCAAGGTCTGACATGGTTATTAAAGACAATATCACTTCTTCTTAGTGTAGTGACGATTCCTGTCAGGTTTACACAAATCAAGCCTACTTAACTTCACTCCTTAACTCACAATGTGACCAGATTTCACACTCCTCCACCTGACCTGCATTGTGGTGGGGCTGTGGCACCACTGTGGGTGCCGTGCAGCTCCTAGGCAAGTGGCAGACTAAGGAAGGTTAAAGCAGCACTGCTCCTATACAAAAAGCACTACATAAATGGCAGGAATTAAACTTTCACAGTATATACACTACATCTACAGACATTGTCGTTTGCATTTCTGGAAGGCTTGAGGATACAGGAAAAACAGGTAAATCAATTACCTTCATTGAGAAAGGTTTTTTTTATTTAAAGTGCACCAAAACCCCTATATTCCTTCAAATAAACAATTATTGAAGTTGAATCTGACATAAGTGAAACACCATTACAACTAACTTCCTGAAACAAATGACCTCCTACTCAATTTCTGCTTGTGATACTTCACCTTGAAGTTTATACTATTTTGAACATCTGAGTGGCACTTATGGTAGTAGATAAATACTGCTAATGCACTTGATCCTCTCCTTTTTAAATAAACCAGACTGTCAGATGCTTTTACTATAAACACTGTGGTATATTGCCATCATATTACCACCATAAAAAAGTATCTTTGTGATCTTGATTACAATACTTACAGCTCTTACAAAGGCCTACTTCAACACCAAAATGTGTTGCACAAAATACAAATGGATTCCTTAGAAATAATTTTCTAAATCTAAACAATGCAAAAATCTGAAGAAAAAAAACAAGACGGGATAATCATAAGGTCTACATGATCGCTGATGTTTAAAATTACTAAAGTGATCAATAACCCTACGTCATACCCGTCAACAGAGGAAGAGTTAACACACAACATACTATGCTTTGCTACAGTGCCACTACATTAATTCTATAGAATTGTTATTACATTTGACTGATGGCTGACTTGTGGCACACTTGTGTTATATTTAACCATCCACAAACTTTTTAATGGAGCAATTCAATTAAACAGAATGCAGCCAGCCTGAAACAGGGCATATGAGAAATGGGTGCTTTCCACACTTTGATAAGTAGTGAGAAGGCAACAATACAAAAGTTAAAAATTGCATTCTAGCTAAACATGCTCTAACAGATATAATCTATCAATGTTTTACAAGTGCCTTTTAATTGCAAAAAATAATGCATGATGGGTTTATTCTTTGAATTAAAAACTAAGATCATTAAGCTAGATCTGAGTATATTTCACTGTTTTTACATCTGTTGGATTTCTAAGTATTTTACAAATGCACAGTGGGGTGCATTCTCTCTTCAAGAGAATTTAAACTGAAGGCTCATTTTAAACGAGGCTGTCATTCACACCTTTTATTAAACCAACATGTTAAATATGCTGGGGATTAAGTCAATTAAACTATATTTAATAGAAGTATGCATAAAACATTTAATTATGAACATAACTTGGAAACAAACCAAGAAAAGTTGTCAGGTTTACCTGAAGAGGCTGGCTCAGCAACAGCCTTCTGATCAGTCTCACTTCTGTCTTCCACTGCTCCTGGGTTTCTGTATCCTGTGCATTTACCAGGAACGACTGCTTGGGAGAGACGTGAAAACTCTTTGCCGCGTAAACCACTCCATCATCTCCTATCTGGAAGACTGCTGGGTCACTGGTTTCATACCGAAGTAGTCCGTTTTTGCCACAGTCAACAAATCTCACTGGAAAAGAAGAAGGATTGTACATTGTGAATGCAAAGAGAAACATGATCTAGGAATGCAGGCAATTATTCACTGTGACACCGTGATCTGTATTGCTTTCAGAATGTAATTTCGTAAATTAATGAAACACGTATGGCTCCAAAGTGAAAGGAAATGTTGAGAATCCCATTTAAGGAAAAGAAATTGATAAGTTGCCAGTTTTTTTAAAGAACTAGAGCATCAATGTTTAATCAAGATAGAATACTTATTATGTAATTATTAAAATCAAGAAGTGTATCTTATTTTACAACACGTATTTATAAAGTATATGCATGCACATTTTTTACAAGCCTCAAACAGCTCGGGAAAGGAGAAACCAATGATAACTAATGAGGCTTGCTGCAGGAACTTGTTAGTGGCAGGCCCGTTTTTTAGAAATACCGCAGCTGTATTAGAAGAGCATAAATACATTTTATAAGAATGCACACCACAGTAATATGCTTCTGGTAAATTCAATTATTCAACTTCTGTAAAGTCTTGCATTTGAAATTCTGTAATGCAAACTACACTGCATACATACACTTACAACATGGGTCTACAAAAATCTGCATAACCCAGTTTAGAATTTTGAAGCTAAACTTTGAGAAAAGGACCTTATAAGAACGCATATTAAGTATTATTACTTTTAACATCTAATACAGATTGATTACAGATTTAAGTCTATGAAATGACAATGATTAAACAGTCATTGTTTGATCTCTATAAGGAGAGAAAAAAATGTCACAAACATTTGATAATTGTGAGCAAATGCCAACAGATGGCACATCTTATTTCAACATAAGCACACTAAGTTTTAAAATCTTTTTGGAAATTGCATATAGCAATGACTTAATATTTAAATCAAAGGAACAGGCATATTAACTTCAATCAGAAAAGTAAAACAATATTTGGACTGGAACCTTTTTACTTTTCAGTGTTGAATTAACCTTATTTTGTACATCTCACACACTGATGCAGCTTCATGCTCTAACCTTTAAAGCAAGTGTAAGTGAAGAGTTCCTCACTTTGATCCTTAGGGTTCCAAATCCAGCATGCTTTCTACATCTCCTTAAGTAATAAAAAGCACTTCACCTGGGGGAAGTGTTAAATTGACCCAATTAAAGTTTAACTGGACCAACTTAACCATCTCCACAGCCAGAAGCTTTCAAACAATACAAAAGATGGCTGGATTCAGGATCTCAAGGCCCAGAGGTGTGAACCCTTGCTCCAACCAAACAGCTTCACAAAACCAGCATCCCACAGTTAAAATTAGATATTGATGCATAAAATAAAACCAAACTAATTTGGTTTCTCTAATTTTTACATACGTTTAAAGTTACAATCTAAAGTAAGATTTGAAAATGCTTCATACCCCTGGAATGGGCATGTTCCCCATCTACTCAGATGTTTCTCCCATGCAAAAGACTACATTGCTTCTACAGAAGTATAAACGTAATCTGAAACATCACCTACTAGGAAAAATATTAACCTAGTCTTAAAAAAAAGAATCCAATTTAGGGAAAGGGATGTAGTAGAACAACTAGGCTAATTAAAATCACTAAAATTTAACATTGCAGCATATCTTTAAGGGGTATAACCTCCAATAGGGCAGATGTCATTGAGGTACTTCGCTCCGGACATTTTTGGCCCATTGCTCTTCCTGATCTAAAGTGATTTAATTTGTGTGCTAACTGTGCGAGAATGTAAATCTGTAGATAATTAAGTGAAGTGAAAGATTTTTTATATAGATCATAGAAAGTCACAGATGTGGAAAAAAATAAAAATTGGGCATATAGCAAAAGGGGTGGAATAAAATCAAGCTACACTAAAGCCCTTTCTAGCAATAATTTAGAGAAGTATTCAATATACAAAAAGTCATTGCCTTAGAAAGTTAGAAGAAAAACAAAGATTCTGCTCTGAGGGAATTGTCATACACAGACTCGGGATGTGACCAAATAGTCAATATTTATATATATATATGAATGCATTGATACTAATAAAAAATAATAATCGGTGATAATTTAAATAAGGAATAACAAACCCACAATGACAACTGACAAGGAGGTGGACATTTGACTTCCTACATCTATTACATAGTAAATTACTGCATACAGCAAAGAGCAAGATGTTTTCACAGAAGCAGTACAGAAAGTCCGAGAAAATAAGACCCTCGGCAGTAACCATATTACCCATTATGCAAAGCTTAAAACACTTTAAACAAGCTAATTACTTCAAGAGGAGTGGACAAAGGCAGACAAGGTCTACAAGCTTCACAACTTGTTCAGCTCCTTCCAATAATGAAAAATTATTAGATTTGCACAATGTTATTTATCTTTAAAAGCACAGACTACAGAAGAGGGCAATTATCTTCTGGAATGAATGCAAACTTCTTTGCTTTCTTAATTATTTTGATCAATCTTGCTGCATAGACCCTTAGTCCCTTACAGGGATCCACAAAAAGCCTGTTGTCCATATTGGTCACCAATGTTCACAGGGAGCATCAAATCCTCAATGCCAGTAGGAGCCCTTCCTATCATGTTGGGTACAATTTTCAAAGCAAACTGAACTAGCTGGTCACTGCACAATGCAGCAAAATGTAAGAAAGCAGAGGAAGTATTAAACAGGATAATGCTAATAAAGCAGCGTATTGGCTATTGCCAACAAATAAGAATTTTATAGAAAAAATCCATTATTCTTAATAGATTCAAGCCAGAAGACAAAAGGCTTCCATGCTTCAAGGTTAAGAATGATCAACTACAGACCAAAATAATAAATTAAACAGTTATTCCATGCATACCAAAAAACACAAATCATATGAAGGATTAATCATCAAGGTAACAAGGTAAAGAAACTGAATGTCAAGAGAACTCCTCATAGCATGCTTGGAGCAATATTCATCCAGAGGGCGAAAAAGGTCTTAAGTTTATACTGTAATTACTGATACACTATCAAATTATCTGTGGTCTTATTCCTGTGACAAATTTAAGGCTAAGTAACAAAATATTAAGTCGTGTGAAAATTTTCACACTTAAATTCAAATGCATGAAAATTGCTATATAGTCAAATTATAGTAAAGCACAATTACGGAATTAACAAAACATTTTCCTCCTGTATAGTTAGTGCTTTTATTTGTGTAATGTGCAGATACACTAAGGTTTTCCAAAATGTTATTTGTATTACCCTTCTACAAATGTGTGTATAAATACACAGACCGATGTAGTTAACTCATGAGCAAGATTTGAACTGTAGAATATCACCACTACTCATGGTCAAAATACATTCAACCTGTTCACAAAATATTTTTATTTAAACTAAACGTGGCAAAGCGCATCTTCTGCAAAATATGGGTAAACACAAAAGCACTATTCTTTTATTCCTTTGTTTCCATCACAGGTTTGTGTGCCCAAGCAATTCAACATTAATGGTTTTCTGGACCATCATCTTCCTACAGTTTGTCAAAATGCATTGCCTGAAATTTTGAAATTTTATTCTTAAATTTAGGAAAATGTTTAGGGGTTAATTTGGTAACAATGCTTAAAGATAGTCTGCTTTTGATCGTTAACAACACTGACAGCTCCTACATGTTTGTTCTACTTTCAATTGTCTTATTCGCTTTTGTACCCGAAAACCATGCTACATTAGACACGTCGTAATGGACGCAGAGATAAAGGTCTTTAGTTAGGACTGAAATGCCTATGCAGCACTACAGAATGGGAATACAGGCTGTCAGCAAAAACACAGATTTAACGCCTAGAGCAGAGCCAAAATTACCAACGATTCAATGATCACATTCACAGCTAACCCCTGCTGCTTACAAATACAAAACCTTTCTAACCTCTCAAGTGCCCTTTGTCTGCTGTTATCACATGATGCCACCAATACAAATGGGCAAAACAGAAGGTTCTTAATTTCTGCCCAAGCTGAACATATCTACTAGAACATCTTACCTTCTGGTTTTCTTAAGGACAGAAATCAGATCAATGCACTGGACCTAAAAGGCACGCTTGGACAGTTTTGAGTGTAGCTACACTGGTAGGAGTAGGGAGGGGAAGGACTGCTTATAAATCAAGACCTTTTTCTCACAGGCCGAAAAACATCTAAATGTAAATCAAAAGCCCCCTTGATCAACAAGTTGTTAGAAGAACAAAAAAAAAAGTACTCCAGTGAAATTCCAGTATCTCTAGGAGTTCTCTGATGGATCTTGGGAAATGCACCACTGCAATAAAGGCTACAACAATGTTGGTCTTGTTAACATTTCAAACCAGCAGCATATCTGCTTGAAACACATGCCATAAAAGGAGTTCTCCAGCCAGAATAGTGTGGGGAACCCCTGGGTTAAGTAAAATCAGAACAAAGTCTCCTCAAATTATGACTGACAATTGCTTCTAGTCATGACTAATTGAGTTTCTAGCTGGAATGCATCTTTTTTGATTAATGAAGAACCTGCATAAATGTTAAACATTCTAAAATGTTATATATATATATGTATATCCTATCATCTAAAGTATAGTAACATATACTATGGCTAAGGATCTGCGCCTGTGGCTGGAAGGTTGCCGGTTCGTATCCCGTGGCCGGCATAGGAAACCTTATCCGTTGGGTCCCTGAGCAAGGCCCTTAACCCCAACTGCTCCAGGGGCGCCGTATGATGGCTGACCCTGCGCACTGACCCCAAGCTTCTCTCCCTGTCCGTGTATATGTGTCTCATGGAGAAAAGCTGGGGTATGCGAAAAGACGAATTCCTAATGCAAGAAATTGTATAGGGCTAATAAAGAAACAAACAAACAAAATAAAGGGCCTGAACTGAAAGTCAGTGAATGGTGATTAGACACATGATTAAGGCAAAAACATCCCTATACAGTTGAGTGACTACACAGAGTACATCAAGATAAATTATGATATAGAAAACTTTGCTAAATTCTTGTTTAAGCTTTATTTCATTTAGTAAAGTTTTTACATTGTGCAAAAAATGTTTGCTAGCT